TAGCTGTAAAAATGGATTTCACTGTAAACAGTACTGGCATCCTAAGTGCCGGTACTTTTTACCGCAATTTGATGTGGAATATTATACAGTGTATTATCTCTTCTTTAGAGCAAACGTAAAATCGATAACTGGAGTAAACAATTTATTGCATTTTTTTCTTTCTCAGTATATGTATCATAAGTTCTTTGTTTTATTGTCAGAGGTTTGTTTCTTCAGAAATAAACAATTTAAACTCAATCTTTCTTGCAAAACAACAATATTATCTTTATCTTTTATTGTTATAAGCATTTATTCCTGGTGTGTTGTTATATCTTATATTTAATTTATTAGCGTGAATCTTTGTGATAAGGAATTGTTTTCTGAGAAAACATAATCTTCTTTGCTTCAGACACCAATATAATTCAGCGATTATGTGGTGACGATAACACTGTCTCATACTCTCAAAATATTTAGAAAGAGTTTAACCGATAACATATTGTTAAAACCCAAAGGATTTGTATGTCTGTTATTTATGAAGAAAGGAAGAAATATATACCAAAAAAAGAGCAAACACAAATTATGTATTGTAACGTAATGCCTGTAAGATAGCATTCGGAAACGTATTTTTTCTTTGGCTCAGAGAGTAATACTGTTTCTCAAGTAATAGATTGGATCTGAGTTTTTTTTTTTTACGTAATTTTATCTGTAAATAAAATTATGTTTTATCTGTTAGTGTATGCATAAAATAAGAGGGTGGGTATTTGGTTTTTTGAATTTTCAGGTGATTTTCATGCAAAACAAATTTGCTTAGAGCTAGAAAATAATGAAAACTTATTCTTAGATGTTTGTCCATGAAATTAAATATAAAACGTAATTATTATTTATGCAATACATACTATGCTATAAAGGCATTTAGTTTTATAAGTAAGATACAACACTATATATATNATGAAAAAAATATTTAATATCATCGATGAGTAAAAATTAATACAACAATATATATATATACAAATAGAGAGATTTCGTAATACTACTTACCATCTCTCACGTTCACGTACGCTTACTTTGAAGTAACTGTGAGCTCATAGTTTGAAAAAATGTGTGTTTTAGGCATGCGCAGTTTGCTCAGAACCACACGCGAGTGAACGTGAAAATGCTAAATCTCTTTAATGATGATACCTTCTCTCAAAAGAAGATTAAACTTATTGGCCGAGATAAGAAGTACATAGACCAGTTAGTAAATCTTGTTATTTTATATTCAAACAAATAGACTGGTTTTTTTCTGGATTCTTTGTTTCCAGCAAATTCTATGGAAAATACTTTTTTTTGCTATCTAAATGGCTTAAAAGCCTATTTAAATTTTCATATCTAAACCGTATCCTCAATCTAAACGCCGATCGATTATTCTATCCTATTTTTGAAGCATCTTTTCCTTTAAAAAATGATTACTACGAATAAAATTTATTTAAAGGAACTTATGATACTTTCAACTGATGAAAAATGAAAATCTTTCAGGGGAGTCGAATGGTGTTGCCAATTCAGAAAATATATTGACTTTAGAAAAATTAATTATCTTAAATAGTAATTTAATGAATTGAAAGATAGAAAAAAAAGAAAAAAATATCCTGATTCTTATCATACACTGTATATTAAATGTCGCCTTTACTGTTAGATTCAAAATTTATGTTCTTTTTTTAACTAAGTAATATTTTACCTCTTCACTTTCTTGGAATTATTTATTTAATACCACATAATTGTTTTTAAGAAACGAAAGACATTTCGACACTGACAAGGAATAAAGTTTAGAGATCTTTCGACGCATATTTTTGCTTTTACGGGAAGTCTAAAATTATTTTATTTCTCTTCCTGATTCTGTTCTATTCCTTTTCCTTTTGCAACGTAATTTTAAATCTTAAAATTGTTAACGTGAGAGCAATCTNATCTTTCGACGCATATTTTTGCTTTTACGGGAAGTCTAAAATTATTTTATTTCTCTTCCTGATTCTGTTCTATTCCTTTTCCTTTTGCAACGTAATTTTAAATCTTAAAATTGTTATCTGCAGATTGTTATCTGTGTTGCAATCTGCAGAGTAGGTTTTTAAAATAAAAAAAATAATAAAATGACATTTTTAAATCCCGTAACTCAAAAACAATTTGAATTTTATCCTTTAAAACTCAGTTCTTAAATTCCTATTTATTCAATAAGACTTAATTTTTTTTCATCATATTTTTTAGATTGAAGCTATCCCCTATAATTGATTATCAAAAATATGAATCCGCCGAAGGAAAGTTATGTTAATTTAGAGAATGTACGTTTTTGTGTCTAAATTCGTAACTTAAAATACCATCTGCACTGATTAACATGTAACTAAAGGGTTTAAGTTAGGTTTAGATTAAACTTTATAACTATTACTATTGCATCTGAGTATGTGATATCCGATCATTAAATCAAAAGTTATTAAATTGTTCCTATTTTTACTTTGCACACTATACTATTAAAGACTAAAACTATTATTACTTCACTCTTTTTAGATGTAGCTGATCTTAGGGATAAAAAATTTAACACCCGAATATCATTTTTCAGAAAACCATTTTACTTGTTATTAAAAGTAACAGCACCAAAATTTAAAAAATAGTGGGAAGAATGTGATAACTATTCATTGAAATAAATAAAGATAGTTAAAAAAAAGCATTAAAAGTATTTAATAAAATATCTCGGTATAAACATTGTTTTCAAATTTGTTCTGAGCAAATTAAGAAACAATTACAATAAAAAGTTCAATTTTATTTAAATGAAAACGATTTTAATAAAATTCTTTATTCATTTCCATGTTAAATATTTATAATTAATGAATTTCAAACTTTATTCATTCTTTTCTTTGTAGTGTGGTTTGAATCTTAATATGAATTACTAGGACTGAAAGAAGCCATAATTAAATTTTTAACAAAGTTTCCTGTTCATTCATGAATATGCAATAAGTTTTTCAATGAATATAAATTCCTGTTCTGAGTATTTAAAAGCCTATGAATGGTAAAAGAAGTGTAAAAAGCGAAATAAAAAATGAATAAATTATCATATAAGGCAAATTAATCTCGATCATAAATACTTTTTCAAAACACTATGCAAACTTTAAATGTATGAAGATGAAAAACTTAGTTTTAAATTGCATTTTCAGTTGAGCGGTAATTAACTTTTGTCAACTAAGAATAATATGCAATAGTAAAAGTTTTTGAGTGGAAGTATTAGCATGAAATTTGACGCCATTATATAATGTTTTGTTTATAGTGTAATACCATTAAATGGAAGATTAAATGCAGTTTAAACTCCCTAATATGAATAATCGAAAAATGATCTAAACTTTTTACAACGCATTACAACCAAAACTTGTTATAGTTTATACTAACTAAACTAAAAACTCATCAATTTGATTATCACCATCTTTATTATAAGAATATAGATGTTTTAAACTTATTACAATGCATGTCATTCAAAGCTTTTTATAATTTATAACAATGGCAAACAACTTTGCAAATTTAATAATCATTCTAAGTATACTAAATCATACACAAGAAATTTTTTCTCTCCAAAATATGGTAATGACAATTCTGGTTAAAAAAAAGCATAATTCTGATTAATAAAACCGAAATATAATTTAGGTTTACCAAAAAATATTAATATTTTTATTCAAAGCAACACATTATTTAATATTTCATTGATGCAAATCGTTGGAAATTTTTCGTATGATCTAAATTAAATTGCGATTTCAGTTTATTTGTAGAAAAATAGATAAATGCGATAATGCCGAGCAAAACTTCAAATTAAACTTATGCTTTTCCGTGCTTAAGGTAACAAAATTAATATTTAACAGGAACTAGATACTACGTCTAACTCAAAAAAGGGGAAAGTACGAATATACAGATTAAACTAATGGGAAAGGTTTATAGTGGAATATTTTTGGGTCCAACAACATGTATTTATTTATAAGAAGGCAACTATTTGAGAAATAAATATTTATGAGAAAGTAGGACAGAATGTTTCACTCCAATTTTCTATTACGATAGCTTTTTTTCTGATCTTAAATACAGTGTCTCAAAAAATTAAATAAAAAGAAATAAGCTTTATTTAATTTGTGAATTCGGGAAAAAAAAATCGAAATTTTATTTTTGATTTTCAGTTTTACTTTATTTACTGAACACGGCAAAAATTACACTTTCAAACAGATTTGTTACTTACATAAGGCTTAATCAAATGTAGTGTTGACACATGTAATAGCATCAGAAATACAGTAGCAATAACGGCAGCGACGTTCAAGGTTATGGAAGGAGGTATCAGAATTAATTGCACTATATACGGTGAAAAAATTCTAGAAAAATTACAGTTCTGCATGGTAATGACACTTCTGGTAAAAAAACAAACATAATTCTGATTAATAAAAGCCAAATATACGGTATTTAAACCATTTTATTTTCCATTCATGTGGAAGCGGCTTACCGGAAATTTTGGTTTTCAGTTATATTTCTTATTACCACACATTTAGTAAAAAACAACTTTTACCAAATAAATGATTTTTATGTATCATTTTTAAATTTCATAATTTTACCACATTTTTCAAATTCCAAATTATATTGTTACTTTTACCAAAATCCTTACCAAAACGCTAGGGAAAAGTATTCCGAGATTTTTGATGCTCCTATAGAGCAATATACACTGTAAACTTTACCATATTATGGTAGATTTGACCATATTTTTTTCTGTGAGTAAGCTTACTTTAACGGATTTTTTTCCTGCTAAATATTGAAGATGTATGGAAAGGTTGTTCTGCATAGAAAAAATACTTAATTTATCCCTTCTCTTTCATAATTAAGAGCTAGGAATAATCACGCTAGCACATAATCTAGATATTACATAACTCTGTACTAGCGACTTGATTCTACCTATAAAATAAAGAAAATGTACTACATATGAGGATTTTCAAAACGTATGGTATGTAGATGAAATAGTTAAAATAAGATACAAAATGTAAATGAAAAAAATATTTAATATCATCGATGAGTAAAAATTAATACAACAACAACAGCAAAAACAGTTAAAAGTAAACTTCGATATGAAAAACATTTCATCTTCAAGCTGTATCCATCATTTTGATTGAAAAGACAAGCATTAGAACCATGAGTAAATATAGCACAGTGTTCATTGAGTAATGAACCTGACATTCGTTCCAGTTGGCTTTGATAAAACTGGTGTGCATGGTGGCCACAGTCTCTTTGTATATATGTATGCTGGCATTCGACAAATTCTGAGAATGCACTAAAAAAGACATTTACATCAGAAAAAAATTATTTTCAATTACACAATATTTATTAACTTCAAAAGGCGTAAATATCTGAATTGGTTTTTAAAATCATGCTCGGAAATGTTTCTAATTTAAAACTGTTTTATTTTGCAACAGTTATAGTTCTGAGTACGTTTTATTTAGTTTCTCATTAATTTTTAATTTTTTTTTTTTGCATTAGAGTTTGTTTCATAAGAAACCCTTTACTTTGTCCATTTAGTTTATCAAAAATCTCATAAAAACACCAGTCGTATGAGTTTTAATTTTTCATTTTTATAATTTGAGTTATAAACTTAACTAACTTGGTGCACAATTACATTTATGGCATGCGTTGAAAGACTAGATTTTTTGATAAAATGTTTAAAAAAAATGACTTGAACATATCAGGAACTTTAGCATTACCCATTAAAATTGATAGATAATATAACATAGTAGTCATGATGGTCAGTAAAATTTTTTCAGCAATGATGACTGAATTATTCTGATTCGAAAACGAGAAGTAAACCAGGCCTGATTGATTGATTGCTTTTTGGATTGCCAAGAAGCACTGTCTGGAGATAAAAGTTTTGAGTACTTTTCCATTTTAAATATTAGAATCCATATAGGATCACTTCTATATCTTATATTGAAGGCAATTTTAATCAATAATGTTTTAGATCCATTTCATAATGACTTTGTCTCAAAAATGACCTTTGCTAACTTATAAAGACTCCGCACTTTGCTACTTATTAGGACTCTGCATTATAAGTTTGATAACCTATAAAAAAGCCTTCCGCATTCTATCATCCATTGAGATCATAGACATGAATTGAAATTTAGCAGTGGGAGAAAACCAAATTTATGGTTGTTTATTAAGGTGGCTTATATTAATAAAACCATCAATTAAGAACCTGATGATGACCATGTAATGAATTGTTTTTTAGGAAAAGTGTAGCATGATCCAAACATCAAATAAATAAACAGGTTATTGTTTTAAATTATAGGTTTTCCTGGTACTTCATTTTAAATATGCCAGAGCACACATTGTTAATTTTATCAAGAAATTAGGAAAAATCACTAGGGACCCAAGGTGTTTCAGATCTGATGTGAGGAAAACTACTTAGAAGAGAGTAGGGTAAGAGAGGTATCCTCGATTTTATGAAAATTAGTTCTGTTTTCTAGCGGCCAAACTCTGAATTACACTTTACTAGTCAATAATATGGTTTTACCATACTGGTGTGGTGTTGTTGACTAATTCACGGTTTCTGTATAGATAAGTTTGTTTCGCTATGCAAAATCTCAAATATTCTCTTGTTTTTAAGCTATCCTTACTTATTGTTCCTTTCAGTAATAAAAATTATTTTTAATCCAGCTTATTATATGTTTAAAGATTCATTCATTCACCCAAACAAACAATAAGGATTTAGTCCAATGGTAGCACTGTTCTTTGTTTCGATTCGATAACCTTAGCTCCCAGTGTAAGATCGGGTATAATGTACAATACAGTCTTGCCTCCCCCCCCCTTGATGTGTACCTATGCTGGGTCCACGAAAGATGCAGTGCAGCAGAGGAAGCAAATAACTACATCCAATGTTGTACAAACGTTTTAGATTTAGGGCTCCAGGAGAAAATTTTCTGCGGGCCTCTTTCTCAAAGTGCAAAAATCCTTACTCTCACATTTTGTAGAAATTTGTAAACTTTTATACAAAATTGTAACTTTTATATAGTTATAAAGACATTCCCTACATTAAAAAAAATTAATAAGCAGTATATTTTTTGTGAGGTATTTCGGTCGGGCCCTCTGCTGTCCCGGGCTCCGGCACAATTGTTCCCCTCTCCCTTCCTTGAGTACGGCCCTGACTATATCGCATGTAAATTACATGCATAATTTTCTGAAATTGTCATATAAAATAGAAATGTCAGCTACATTTTCACTGAAATTCGAGTGTTTCTGAATTTCTTACAGAGTTTAAAGGGGTACCCGGTCTTACTCTGGTGATTTGACTTTTTCTAGAAAAAAAATCACCTATAAAAAAAGTTTCTACATCAATGACTTTTCAGAAGTAATGTATTCAGTTTTACCTCACTTTGCCCTATCTTCAACCAAAAAAGTTGATTATTAAATTATACTTCAGTTTGGTACTATAGGAAATTATAAATTTTAAGTCGGTTAAAAACTGTTTAAAACGTATTATCGCAATTTATTACAAATCACTTCAGTTTACAGTGGCTCTAGGAGTTCAGAGTTCCCAAAATCAATATTTAAGATTGACCCTCATGGTGATGAAAAACGCTCATTGTAAATTGCTTTTGTTGATGAAGTAAAACTAAAGTGTTCATTTTTATTTAAATCATTTTTTTTCAAATTACGTAGCCTTTAGTGTACGCTTTTTTAAAATTTTCACTCTAAAATTTCGGTAAAATAAGCAGCAACAGTGTTCTGCTGCAACCATAAATTCCATAAATTCAATAAGCAGCAACAGTGTTTCAATTCTGTTAACCATAAATTCCTTTACGGCCTTGAAACAATTTACGATTAGTATGATTAAAAAACAAACCGTGAATACAAACCTATTTACAGCAAACTATATAAATTAAATTTAATTGGACATTGGCAGGCAAGAATTGAGTAGCGCAAGGAAACTCTTCGTGTTTTAAAGAAATAGAGGAAATATTGCAGTGGTAACGCAGGGGTTCGAACCCATATTCTGGTAGTCATGAGATTGACAGGCTTACCCTGTCGACTACATTATGTACTCAATTGCAAGAAACTAATTGGCTTTATGAGGTGGGCCAAGTTGGCGTGGTTAAAATTCCAGTTGTATAACCGTATTAGGTAAAAATAGTTAATAAACGACTTTTCTCACACTTAACAGTTTGAAAACCATTTTTTTATGGTTATTTGACTTCTTTGGTAGAATATGGTAAAATAAAAATTAAATAAATTGTTATTCAACTATTTTTTTAGAAAAATTTCTAACAGTGCATACCAACATGATAATTTCAAAAGTACTTTTACGTGCGGTTACTTTAGTATTCGACGAGATATTGATCTCTTAATTCTAAATTGCAGACACTTTAAACAATTAAGGACTAGTTACTATCTTGGTAAACATAGTTTAGAGGACTGGATCTGTGACATGCATTGTAGCAGTATTGTAATCTTAATTGTTAAACAAACTTTGGTTGATCTCTCGTGAGCAGAGAGCTACTATTAAAGAGATCAGGGACTTACCATGGTATGTGCTGTTATTGGCCGTAAAATACACTTACATTACCTTAATTAAATTTTTATTTTCTCAAGTATTTTCCCTAAGCGCTCTTTCTATTGCCCTACTAAGAATGTTCCTCTACATTTAATTATGATTTGAAGTTTAAGTTAAATCTAGTGGATTTGGCGATTTATTAAAATGTTTTTATAACATGTATATACGAAATTGAAATTATCAATGAAAATTAGTAAATTTCAATGGATTTGACACTCTAGTTGATTTTAGTTATTGTTTTAACTGATTTTGATAACTGATCCGGGTTTTTTTTGTTAAAGTTTAGGGATATAATCTAATTGAATTGTGATGAATCTAATCAAATGACGAATTTTGATTATAACTTTAAATCCCGTGAATGCAATGAGGGTTTTGATACTTGGGATTGGATGGTTTTTTGTTTTTGTATTTTCGTTTATTGATCTATGAATTTTGCTCTACTTTCTTTTTATATTAATGAATAAGTGATTTTTATTTATGTTCGAACATTTTACGTAGGCAAAATTTCTTCGTTTGGTTTTTGCTGCTTTTGGATTGAGTTTATTTCAGTCTTATTAACAAATTGATTTTATCTTTACTATTTTTATGATTGATCACTAAATTCTGGTATATGTGGAAAATTATTGTTTAAATGATTTTGATTATAGAATTAACTGTATCAAATATTTATGTTTACAAGCAGAAAAACATTATGTTTCTCTGCTTTTACTGATTTTTCTAATATTAATAGTCTATAACAAAGTTAAATTCTGAATAACTGTTTCTTATTGCATGGACTTCATACGATTAATCCCCCTGTTTATTATTTATTATTAGTTTTCTTCATGTTATTTACTGTTGGAACTCATTGTTAATCAAGTAAGAAGTTTTGTATTAATTGTTTTATAAATTTAATTGATGTAGAGGAATTTTAAATCAGTGTAAGTAATCTACTAATGTGTTTTCTTAAGCCTTAGCCTGTCCTTAGTCAGCGTCTGGTCTCAGTTACACAGTTATACTGCTTTTTTGGTTTATTTTCTAATTTAATCTTCTTCTTAACTCTCTATTATCTTGAATTTAAAATGGGATTAAATTCTGTTATCCCTTATTCCTCTTGCATTTTTTAAATTGGTAGTGAATGTATTCGCATTGATAGAAAAAGCATAAACTGTAATAATGATAAAATATAATAACTAATCTTTTATCTTAATTTAATCTTGAATTTGTCAATGTATATGATTTGAACTTAACTTTCACATTATTTTATGCAAAGTCACTTTTTCAAAAGCGATATTTTCATAATACTTTGCCTATTGTAATGCTTCTAAATAGATATGTTTAAGTTTCCTGACTATCTACATTGTTAACAACACAATATTGAAAAACATTTCCTTAAATGGAAATTGCGGTCCTTTTCTCTAAAAACGCCTATAAAAATTTTCCTCTACGGAGTATTTGACCCCTAGTTGAATTGAAAAACAATTTGTCAAATGTTGGTCAGTTTCATGCATAATTGAGAGTTTTAAGAATTTAAGTTTCGATTTTACTGCACTTAAATTGATTTTGTCATAACTTGATTTGTTTAAATTACTTTGCTTTAATTCACTTAGGCACTTGGTGACAGGTTTTAATAATACAATGTATTTTGATTAAATTGTTACCTTGTTTTAATTGTTAATTAATAGGTTAGAGTATATTGCTTAATGAAGTAAATCTGATTTATAGTTAACTCTAGTTGATCGATTAATGTT